GTTATCTCATTTAATACTCCCAGCTACATAGAGACCAATAGGACTATCCCATATAAAGATGGGGGAGGCTGGGCACAGTGGCTCATGCCTATAATCCCAACACTTTGGGAGGCCGAGGCAGCCAGATCACCTGAGGTCAGGAGTTCAAGACCAGCCTGACCAACAGAGAGAAACCCAGTCACTACTAAAAATACAAAATTTGCCAAGCATGGTGACACATTCCTGTAATCCCAGCTACTCAGGAGGCTGAGGCAGGAGAATCACTGGAACTCAGGAGGCAGCGGTTGCGGTGAGCCGAGATCATGCCATTGCAGTCCAGCCTAGGCAACAAAAGCGGAACTCCATCTCAAAAAAATATATAAATATATGAGGGAGCAATAGACTTGAAGAAAGTAAGTGATTCACCTAGTCATACCACTCAGCAGAAGGTTAAATTGCAATTAGAATCTGTCTCACTCTACAACTAGGTTTCTTTCCCCTCCACCATTTACCCCATAATTGTCCACTACTTATCCCTCTATACAGTAGCCATGCCCCTTTGTTTACTTACTGCCTCTGGCTGCTTTACAAATACAATAGCAAAGTAGTTGTGACAGAGATGATATGGCCCAAAAGACAAAAATACTTGCTGTCAGGCCCTTTACAGAAAAAGTTTACCAACCCCTGATCTATAGAGCAGCTATCTGTCTCCCCGACTAGACAGTAAGTTCGTTTGAACTGAGATCTTGTTTCTCTTTGAACCTCTAGGAAGAATAAGCATACTGTTTTTCAAGGGCCTCAGTGTTCATTAGATGAACTATGAAATGTAATTCCCTCTGGAAATCCTTATGCCCGTTTTTTCTGATCCCAAACCCAGGCCATAATAGCCAATGGTCTCTGCCTGTTTCAGGAAGCACATGTGTTAGTCAATAAGCCAGAATGCTTCTGCCAGTAGCTTGAAGACCTATGAGCTGCATCCACTGGAGATACCCTTGGTAAAGTTGTTTCTGCTCCACCATAGAACTTTCCCGGGGGGATGCTTTTGGATACAAACACAAGCCAGGCGTGGTGGCTCACACCTGTAATCCCAGCACTTTGGGAGGCCGAGGCAGGAGGATGATGAGGTCAGGAGATCGAGCATCCTGCCTAACACGGTGAAACCCCATCTCTACTAAAAATACAAAAAATTAGCTGGGCATGAAACCCCGTCTCTGCTAAAAATACAAAAAATTAGCAGGGAGTGGTGGCATGTGCCTTTATTCCCAGCTACTCAGGAAGCTGAAGCAGGAGAATCACTTGAACCTGGGAGGTGGAGGTTGCAATGAGCAGAGATCATGCCGCTGCACTCCAGCCTGGGTGACAAGAGCAAGACTCCATCTCAAAAAAAAAAAATCAATATTATTCCTACACATACCAGAATAACCAACTAGAAAATGTAAATTTAAGAAAATTCCAGTTATAATTGTTAAAGATCTATAATGTATCTAGGATTAGTGCTGTTTTTTAAAAAATGTGTGATCTTTACAAAGAAAATTGTAAAATTTTAATGATGAACATAAAAATGGCCTAAGTAAATGGAGAGATAGACCATGTTCATAGATAGGAAGATGCAATATTGTAAAGATGGCAACCCTTTCTCAAGTAGGGAGGCCTTCTGACTCTAAGTCACCCAAACACTCTCCACCTTTTCTCTAAATAAAAGTTTTTTTAAAAAATAGAAACAGAGGCAGAGACAAGACACTTTGTCTTGATTAATAGAATAATGCCCAAGAATTTTTAAAATAATAATAGCTAGTTTCATGAAGTGTTTACTCAATAAACTAATTATTACAATGGCATTTTGAACTAAGTACTATAACCATTCTCATTCTACAGACAAGGAAACTCAGGCCCAAAGAGGTTAATTAGCTTGCCCAAGGACACACATCTAGTCAGTGGAGGAAGGATTTGAATTCAGGCAGTCTGACTCCGAGCCTGGATTATGAACTATTGCTGTCCGCCACTTTCAAGATTTCTGTCACTCACCTGCCCTCTGAGAAACTTTGGTGGTGGGCAAAGCGGGTGTGAAGTTGCATCAATCTCACTGTGAATGAATGTACTTTAGCCCCTTCATCTGTGGGCCTCAAGAGAGTGTGTTCTGGATAAGCACCTCATTTTACGTGTCAAGGAGAGGAGGCTGAGAACCAGGCTGAATGTGACTGATGAAGAATCCTCTTTGTTTGTTCTTAAAGGAAGTTTTTGCCCCTGATATGTGAGCCATACCCAGGGTCCTTAGAACCTCAAGGAAGCCCTTCCTTCTCTTCCTAGATGCAGGACTCTGGTTTCCTGTGGGTCTGGTTTATTTTTAATTCTGCTTCCCTCCTTCTCTCTTTTAGGACCTGTTAGTCTCATTCCTGTGCACTCTGTTCCACATGCACAGATTCAGCTCCTACTTCTTGTAGACCACTCTGAGAGGCAGGTGGGGAGGTAGACTGAGGGAGCATTCTGTCCAGCACTGTACCATGTACCCTGGGCAAGTCCTGGCACTAAATATCAGAGCCCATAAATGTGTCTGTGCTCAGATGACATCCCAGCTAGGTAAGGAGTGCAGTTGAGTCTTGATAAGATGCGTCCTCAGCCCTCAAGGAACTCAGTTTAGAAAACTACTTCATTCAAGGCAGAAGAATATCAGGTTTAGGGCAGAGGTGCAGAATGTTTGGGTGAGGAGCCAGAGTAGTAAGGGGTTTTCCAGGTTCAAATCCCAGGTCCTCTACCCACCAGCTATATGAACCTGAACAAACTGCCTGGGGTAGGCAGAATGATGACTTCCCTAAGATGTTTTTTTAGTCTTCTTTTCCTCTTCTTTTCTGCCCTAACAAACATGGGACATTACAATATCCATGTCCTAACCCCTGGACCTGTGAAAACGTTACCTTATATGGCAAGTGGGAATTAGCATTGTGAGTGGAATTAAAGTTGCTAATCAACTGACCTAGTTATCCTGAGTTATCTAAAGGACCCAATGTAATGATAGCAGTCCTTAAAAGCAGAAGATGGAGGCCAAAGAGAACAGCAGAGTGATATGACGTGAGACTCAACTCACCATTTCTGGCTTTGAAATGAAGGAAGGAGTCACCAGCTAAGAAAGGAGGGTAGCCAGAAAAGACAAAGAAATAGATTCACCCAAAGAGCCTTCAGAAAGGAAAGGAATGCAGCCCTATTGACACATTGATTTAACCCAGTGAGACCCCTTTTGGACTTCTAACATACAGAACATAAGATAATTAATGTGTTGTTTTAAGCCACTAAGTAATTTGTTAGTCAAAATAGAAAACTAATACACTGCCTAAATTCTGTAAACCTCAGTTTCCTCATCTATAAATTGGGGATAGTACAGATGCTCCTAGACTTACAATGGGGTTACATCCTAGTAAACTCACTGAAAGTCAAAGATGCATTTAATACACCTAACCTACCAAACATCACAGCTTAGCCTAGCTCTACTGTAAATGTGCTCAGAACACTTATGTTTGCAGTTGAGCAAGATCATCTAATACAAAGTCTATTTCATAATAAAGTGTTGAAGAGCTCATCATATGATTTATTGAATGCTGTACTGAAAGTGAAAACCAGAATGGTCATATGGAGTCCTTGAAGTATGGTTTTGGCTGAAGGCATATCACTTTCATGTAAGTCAGGGACCATCTGTATGGAGTTTGACCCAAAATGTTGGTATTATTATTATTGGGAGGTTCAGTACCTTTTTCCCTAGACAAACACACCTGATATAGTTTGGATCTGTGTCCCTGCCCAAATTTCATGTAGAAATTTAATCCCAAATGTTGGAAGTGGGGTCTGGTAGTAGCTGATTGGATCATGGAGGCAGTTTCTCATGAATGGTGTAGTACCATCCCCTTGGTACTGTTCTCACAATAGTGAGCGGCTTCTCACAGGATCTGGTTGTTTAAAAATGTGTGTCATCTTCCTGCTCCCTTCCTGCTCCTGCTCTGGCCATGTGACATGTCTGCTCCCACTTCACCTTTCACCATGATTGTAAGTTTCCTGAGGCCTCCCCAGAAGCCAAGCAGGTGCCAGTGTCATGCTTCCTGTATAGCCTGAAGAACTGTGAGCCAATTAAACCTCTTTTCTGTATAAATTACCCAGTCTTAGATATTTCTTTCTAGCAATGCATAATGAACTAATACACTACCCTACCTCCCTTGGGACAAGCCCTCCTCTTGTAGCCCTGGGTGTGTGGGTATCCCTCCTTCCTTTTGAAGATGCCAGATTCTTCTTTCCCTAGAATCATGTGGCCCACCTTCCTTTGCCCTCCAAATTTCTGCTTTTCTTGGCCTCTAATTCTCCAATCTTTGATTCTGGGATTATAGGGCGGGTGAGGGCCTCTGGGATACAGGAGCTACAACCCACTTTTCTCAAGAAATGCTGCCTTTGCTAAAACACCAGAGTGTGCAACTGGTATTAAGCAATGGCCCTATATCCAGAGCTCGCCTTGGGCAAATAATCTCATATATACATATACATATACATATACATATACATACATATACACATATATATATATGTTGCCCTTGTGCAAAATTGCTGGGCATTTGTATTTTCATTCATTCAAAGAAAAGTAAGCTTTCTGATGATAGATTTGCAAAGATAAACAAGGGGAAAAAAAAATCTCTGCTTCACTTCTTACAGAGAAAGGAAGAGGCTGGTGGCAGTGGCTCATACCTGTAATCCCAGCATTTTGGGAGGCCAAGGTGGGTAGATCACCTGAGGTCAGGAGTTCGAGACCAGCCTGGCCAACATAGTGAAATGCTGTTTCTACTAAAAATACAAACATTAGTCGGACACAGTGGTGCACACTTGTAGTCCCAGCTACTCAGGAAGCTGAGGCTGGAGAATTGCTTGAACCTGGAAGGCGGAGGTTGCAGTGAGCCAAGATCATGCCACTGCACTCCAGCCTGGGTGACAGAATAAGACTCCATCTCAGAAAAACAAAAAAAAAGAGTGAAAGGAAGAGACCACTAAAATTAAATTTAATATCCATGTTTATTAGGGCAGAAAAGAAGAAGAAAAAAATAGATGACAAAACAACTCAGCAACCCCAAGTGGTATGCTTCACTACTCTGAACAAGGCTTCCCCAAATTCTTTAGGGCAGGCAGCCTGCCCCAACTCCTGGTCTGGGGGTTCCAGCTCCATCAGCCCCAGGTAAGATTCTGGTTCTTCCCACTCTTACAAACTGATGGGAAGACCTTTGGAAAGTGTCTATGTTTTCAGCTATTGGTTTTAGTGATTTATGCAGGTTAGCAAAATGAAGCAGTATATATATTTGCTATTTCCAAGACAACCTTTGACATGCCCACAGTTCACAAGGTCTGAAGACATCCATTTCCACAATTTAAAAAAAAATGAAAGAAGCAGCCTTGTCTTGTTTCAACATTATCCGGGTTGTTGCCTATTAAAATGCTTGCTGAAAAAGAACAAGAAAAAAACATTAGAATGATAATAATGATGGTGGTGATGATGGTGGTGGCAGTGATGGTAATGATGGTGATGGTGGTGGTAATAGTGATGATAGTGATGATGGTGGTGGTGGTGATACTGATGACGGTTATGATGCTGGTGGTGGTGATGACAGTGATGATAGTGGTGGTGGTAGTGGTGATGGTGATGATGATTATGATGATGGTGGTGGTGATGTTGATGGCGATGATTATGATGACGGTGGTGGTAATGGTGATGATATGGTGATGGTGATGATGGTGGTGATGGTGATGTGGTGGTGATGGTGGTGATGGTGATGGTGGTAGTGATGGTGGTAGTGATAGTGATGATGGTGGTGATGGTGGTGGTGGTGATGATAGTAATGGTGAAGTGGTAGTGATGGTGTTGGTGGTGATGGTGGTGGTGATGGTGGTGGTGATGGTGATGGTCGTGGTGGTAGTGATGGTGGTAGTGATGGTGATGACAGTGGTGGTGATTGTTATGATGGTGATGAAGAGCCAGAAGTGGGGGGAAGGAGGAGACTAGGAAGAGGATGAGTAGACCAAGGAAGAACACCATCCAGCTATCATTTTCTGAGCACTTCCTATGTGTGCCAGGGCAACACTAACTACTTTCCAGGCATTGACTTTTTTAATCCTAGAAGCATAAGGAAGGACCCATTACTATCCTCATTTTACAGATGATTGTGACATCTTTTTCTAAGGTTCAGTTAGGCATTTTTTTTCTAAGGTTATTCAGCCAGTGACTGGAGGACTCATTATCTGAAAGCTGCTGTCTGACTCCCAATTCCAAGTTGACACATTTCTCCAGCCACTGCTTCCTTGTCTTTATGTAAGTGGGAGCTGCCTGGAGTAAGGCCTCTGTGGTACCCCATGTTTGCAGGAGCTAGGCACCCAGCCTCAGTCACACCTTGGAGGACACTACTGTGGGCTGAATGGAGAAGTCTCTCCGTTAACCTCAACTGCACAACAGTAATAAGTGCTTTTATTTTTGGAGTCACTTACTATGCACCAGGCTCCCTAGACATCATTATTATACCAACTTGCAGAGGCAGAAACAAAGACTCAGAGAAGTTAGGCAACTTGCCCAAGGCCACAGAGCTGGAACTCAGAAAGTCAAACTCAGCTCTGGCCAGTTCCAGAGCCTGAGCATCTAATTGCTCCACAGTCCTGTTTTCTGGAAGAAGCCAAGCAAGGGCTTGGCTTGCTTGACAAAGGCCCTTGGTGCAGGGGAGGCCAGCAGCCTGGGAGTTGGAAGCCAGGCCCAGGCACACCAGAACCCTGACCTAGAATGAGCTGCAGAAGCCGGAAGAATTAGAAGAGGGATGTCAGCCCACTCCTACCCCTCAAAAACAGAACTTCTATTCCACTGCCAGCAGATGATTATCTGTGAAAGCACCCTCAGAGTGAGCCCATGCCTACATATACACAGGACTGAGCCATATAAGGCATGCATATTTACAGTGGTCAGAAGCCTGACATACCAACCACTGCTTAGCATGAGCTAGTGCTTAATCATGCTCAGTTAGCTCCTCTTTAAAATGGGGTTAAAGTGCATGCCCTGCAATGATGCCAGGGTGTTAAGAGGATCACATGAGGCCATTTATGTTATATTATAAAGAGTGATTAATAAGAGTGTCCCTGTGTCCATTCACCATAGCACAAAATAAACAACAACAAAGGTATAAGATTTCTCCTAACCACAAAATTAAACTATCTGATTATAACTTGTCCTGTTTGGTCCATAAAACTTACAGCGGAGAAACAAAATTCACTGGGCTTACCTTCTGAAGGAATTTTGCTACCTTAACTAACAGGATTTGGAAAAGCAGGAAGACGATAAGGACAGACAGGAAGAAGCAAACAGCCTCATCTAGGAACAGAGGAGCAGAGCCAGTGGCATGCAGGGTGTTGGGGGAACGCTGGGCAGTCCCTTGCTGGTGGGCTGAAAACGAAAGTTATGGGGAAGGGAAAGACAAAGTGTGGGTTTGGCAGATTGCCAGCCCTGAAGGCTGCAGGAAGGCAGTGGGGGACAGGAGCGAGACCTGGGAAAGAAGTTGTTGATCTTGATGACAGTAGTGATGATTGTGGTAAATGTCACAAGTTGACTCCACACGTGCTGAGCCCACCTGAAGAGACCCAAGCCTCAACAAAATACACCTCTCCAGATTTGGGTTCAGAGAGGGCTTTTCTAGGTGGCAAATAGGATCACATCCCTCCCCATTTGGGATCACTTGGTGACTCAATACAGGTTGGGATCCTCTGTGTGTCCCCCAGCTCCCCTCTATGTCTCTTGGCTCCCCTCTACTTCTCCTGCCTCAATCTTGCCACCCCCACTCCAGACCCATAACCAGCTAACCAGCTGGTCCCCCTGAGGCATGGTCCAGAAAGTCTCCCAGCCCATGCCATGCTATCCCCCACTACCCCTCAGACAGAAGGCCTGGGAGAAGGGGACATACCGAGGCTGGTCCCAAGCCCCTTACACAGGATGAACCCTGTTCCTGTCACAATGGGGTTTGCAGTGAGGGTTCAGCCAGTGCTCCAGGAACTGCTCCTCAGCGCGGTGCTCCAGGGCGAGCAGGTGATGCATGTACTCCTGTCAAAACAAACCACACTGAAGAAGGCTTCATCCACAGTGACAGCCGAGGGGTCAGCGTGCATGGTGTGGCTCTGGCTCCCTAGACAGAAATTGACAGCCACACCCATGCCTCTATGTAGGGAAGACCAATCAGACTGATTCACCCAGTGGGCAAAATAAAGAAGTCTGACAATACTAAGTGCTCAGCAGGTGGGTCTCCATGGAAACATGGAACAACCACTTCAGAAAACAACTAATTACCTGCAATCTAGAAATTTCACTCCTACTTTATACCCTAGAGCAGTGGACCTCAAACTTCATCAGGTATCAGAGTCACCTGGAGGGCTTATTACAACACAGATTGCTGGGCCTACCCCACAGTTTCTGACTCAGTCGGTCTTGGGTGGGACTTGAGAAGTTGCATTTCTAACTAGTTGCTAGATAATAGTTACACTGCTAGTTGCTCTGAGAACAAGAGAAACTCTTATATCAGGAGAGGTGTATAGAAATATTTATAGCAGCAATAAATTTGTCAGAGCAAAACACTGGAAGCATGCCAAATAGCCACTGACAGGAGAATGGATCAATATATTATGAAAGGGTCATGCCATGGAATATTATACAGCAGAGAACATGAATTAATTATACTGTAGCTGCATACTATAACATAGGTGGGTCTTAGAAACAGCCTATTGAGGCCAGGCACGGTGGCTCACGCCTGTAATCCCAGCACTTTGGGAGGCCAAGGCAGGCGGATAGCCTGGGGTCAAGCGTTCAGACCAGCCTGACCAACATGGAGAAACCCCATCTCTACTAAAAATACAAAAATTAGCTGGGCATGGTGGCACATGCCTGTAATCCCAGCTACTCTGGAGGCTGAGACAGGAGAATTGCTTGAACCTGGGAGGTAGAGGGAGTGGTGAGCCAAGATTACGCCATTGCACTCCAGTCTGGGCAACAAGAGCGAAACTCCATCTCAACAAAAAAAAGAAAAGAAAGGAAAAGAAAGAAACAGTATGTTGAGTGAAAAGTTCAAGAAACTACATTTACAGTATGACACTATTTTTATGAAGTTCAAATATGCATAACTAAATCCTCTAATATATTACTTAAGGCTATATGCATTTGTGATTAAAATCATCTTTTTTAAAAGACAAGGGATAAGCAGAAGAAAGCTAGGGTTGCTATGCTAATATCAAACAAAAAGACTTTAAAACATAAAGATGTTACTAAAATTAGAGAGGCATTTTGTAAAAACAGTCTGGCAGTCCCTGACAATATTAAACATAGAGTTACCATTTGTACTCCTGGCTAGCAACTGTACTTGCAGGTATATACCCAAGAGAAATAAAGATGGATGTCCACATAAAAACTTGTACACAAGTGTTCACAGCAGCATCATTTATCACAGCCAAAAGCCAGAAGCAACCCAAACATCCACCAATAAATGAATGGATAAATAAAATGTGCTACTTCTATAGAATAGAATGTTATTATTTGACAATTAAAATGAAGCACTGGTCCATGCTACAGCATGGATGAACCTTGAGAACATTGTGCTAAGTGACAGAAGCCAGTCACAAAAGACCACACAGTGTATGATTCTGTTCATATGAAAGGTGGCCGGCCCTACACATTGATGTGTCCACAATAGAAAGCAGCTCCTGGCCCTGACCAGTGCTGCCCCTCACTGTGGCCAGCATCTCTACCTACTCAGGAACCCACTCCAGAACATGAACTGTCATTGCCTCCCTCACCCTCAAATTCAAAGACTGAGGGTCGGGACGTTGAGTCTATCTCCTGAATAGTTCTCAGATGCCCTCCCTTGTCTCTGCCACTTTCCTATGTCAGGTCTTCACCACTGCCCACCAAAGCTGCTGCAGACTCCTCACCCCTCTGTCTGTCCCACCCCTCTGTGTTGCATTCCTCCCACCCATACCTCCTCCCTCCCCTATCCATGCTCCACCCTGACAGAATGACCTAGAAGGGTCAAAGGGCCCACCAGGGCCATCTTCTTCTTTGGAGCCTTCACCAGTGCTGTCTGCTTGCAAGGAGGCAGGAGGCAGCACCTGCCTGTACCCATAGGTTTTGTCTATGGCTCTGGATAATGTACTTGCAAGCCAGCAGATGAGTGCAACTTTGGGTAGGATTCCCACCTTCGCCCATTCCTCACAACAGCAGGCGTGGCCCTGCCCTCACACCTTGGTCCACAATGGTCAATGACAGCCTTTGTTAATCTCTGTGCTTCTCAAGAACACAATTTCTCCCTGAAATGGTTGCCTGAAGAGACTTTAATGAAGGGATCATTCACAGCCATGTGAGTTGGGTTAAGGGAACTATCCAAGAATATTCTAGCACCCAGGGACTAGCAATAGAGGGAAGCCATGACCATGCCTAAGTTTGCAGGGCCAAGGGTGGAGGGTCCTCAGAGGAGTCATTAGGCCTGGGGCCAGCAGGGTGGGGCTGCTGTGGTCTTGGGGGCACAGCACAGCCTTTGCAAGGCAAGGAGGGAACAGGGAACAAACAGCCCACCCTCTCCCTCCTCCTCAATCTCCTGCAGGGCCCAATCAGAAACCAGCCAGCCAGAGAACCAGGGGATGAGGTCTATAGTCAGTCTCCTTGAGCACAGAGTGGGGCACAGCAGGATGGAGGATGGACTGGGGTCAGGGCAGAGAAAACTCACGTCCATACCAGGATGATGAGGAGTGGCCGGAGTGCTACCACCAGAGAAGGGAGCAGACAGCGCAAATAACCGAGGGCCATGATAGGGCCTCTCTGCAACCTGCAGCTCATCAGCCTCTGAACACACCCATCCTTTGCAAGAAGTTTTTGTCTTTTCATCTCCTGTCTCTCTCAGTGTGCTCATGCTCTGCCCTTTATCTATGGGAATGTCGCTTCCAGCCTATAGGGCTGGCCTTCTCCTCCCAGTGTGCCTGGGTCTTCCACAAAGCCAGTGCAGGCTGTGAATTTTCTTATATGGGTTACTGATGGCATTATGTCCTATAAGTGATGCACAAAACAGAAAAATGACAAATCAACAGGGCATTTCTTATATAAAAGAATGAAATGTGGTTTCTCGTATCTTAGTCAGTTATAAGGCCTCTTCCTTCCCTCCCCATCTTCTGGTGCAATCTCTGGCCTACAGGCACTGCCTATCATACTGAAGGTGGTTCACGATATCTCTGTTCATGGCACCACATCGCTAGTTAAGCAAGAAGCTTCAGCACGCTCCCTCTTCCTTGCCCTCCCACCATCCAAGCAGGCTAACTCCTGTGGATGCTTCTGAATCCCTTCTACCCAGCCCCATTGCCTCTGCCCAACTCAGGCCCCAGCCCAGGCCCCAGCCCACAACTTCTGCAGGCTCTTACTACCCCTTGTCTTACCTTCTTCCCCTCATGGAGTTTTTTATTGTTGTGTTTTGTTTTCTTAATAGGCTTTATTTTTTAGAGCGGTTTTAGGTCCACAGCAAAATTGAGCAGAAATATAAAGTTTCCATATATCCCCTGTCTTCATACGGGCACAGCCTCCCCCACTGCCAACATCCCCCACCACCAGCATGGGATAGTTGTTACAGGTGACGAACCTGCGTTGACACATCATCATCACCAGTCCATAGTTGACATTAGGGTTCCCTCTCGGTATTACACAAAAGCGTGACAGTTGGGCATGGTAGCTCACATCTGTAATCCCAGCACTTTGGGAGGCTGAGGTGGGCAGATCGCTCAAGCTCTGGAGTTTGAAACCAGTCTGGGCAACATGGTGAAACCCTGTCTCTACCAAAAATACAAAAAAAAAAAAAAAATTAGCCAGGTATGGTGGTGCATGCCTACAGTCCCAGCTACTCAGGAGGCTGAGGTGGGAGGATCTCTTGAGCCCAAGAGATAGAGGTTGTAGTGAGCTGAGATTGCACCATGGCACTCCAGACTGGGCGACAGTGCAAGACTCTGCCTCAAAAAAAATAAAAATAAAAGCATGGCACCAACATCTGCTTCTGATGAGGGCCTCAGGAAGTTTCCACTCATGGCAGAAGGTGAAGGGGAGCCAATATATGCAGATCACATGACGAGGCAGGAGGCAAGAAAGAAAGGAGGCGTCAGGCTCTTTGCAACAATCCGTTCTTATTTGAACTAAGAGCGAAAACTCCCTCATTACCACCATTCATGAGGGATCCACCTCCATAACTCAAATACCTCCCACAAGGCTCCACCTCCAACACTGGGGATAAAACTTCCACAGAGACTTGGTGGGGCCAAACCACATACAAATCCTAGCACTACCATTGCCATAGCACATGGAACAATTACACTGCCCTACAAATCCTCTTTGCTCTGCCTGTTCATCTACCAAACCCCTGGCAACCACTGATCTTTATACTGTCTCTAGAGTTTTGCCTTTCCCAGAATGTCATGTAGCTGGAATCACAGAATATGTAATCGAATTTTCAGATTGGCTGCTTTTCTTTAGTAATACGTGTAAGTTTAACACCTTGTCTTTCCATGGCTTGATAGCTCATTTTGTTTTAGAGTTGAATAATACTCCGTTGCCTGGATGTACCATCGTTCATTTATTCATTCACCAGGACATCTTGGTTGCTTCCAAGTTGGAGCAATCATGAATAAAACTGCTATAAACATGTGTGTGCAGGTTCTGTGTGGACGTTAAGTTTTCAGCTCCTTTGGGTAAATACCAGGGAGTGTGATTATTGAATCATATGTTAAGAGTAGGTCTGGTTTTGTGAGAAACTGCCCAACTGTCTTCCAAAGTAGCTGCACTATTGCATTTCCACCAGCATGAAGGAGAGTTCTGTCACTTCACATCCTCACCAGCATTTGGTGTTATCCCTGTTCTGGATTCTGGCCATTCTAGTAGGTGTGTAGTGGCATCTCATGGCCGTTTTAAGTTGCATTTCCCTATTGATATATGACGTTTCACATGCTTACTTGCCATCTGTATATCTTCTTCAGTAGATGTCTATTCAAGTCTTTTGTCAGAATGGGTTTTTAAAATTTATAAAACAA